CAGATAATTACTGCTTCGAAGACAAAATGTAAAAATCTTTCTACCTTTTCAAATAGAAATCTACTTATTAAAACACAGATAATTACTGCTTCGAAGACAAAATGTAAAAATCTTTCTACCTTTTCTAATAGAAATCTACTTATTAAAACACAGATAATTACTGGTTCGAAGACAAAATGTGTATACTCTACCTTTTCTAATAGAAATCTACTTATTAAAACACAGATAATTACTGGTTCGAAGACAAAATGTGTAAAATCTTTCTACCTTTTCTAATAAAAATCTGCTTATTAAATCGCAGATAATTACTGGTTTGAAGACAAAATGTGTTAAAATCCTTGTACCTTTTCTAATAGAAATCTACTTATCAAATCACAGATAATTACTGATTCAAAGACAAAATGGGTAAACTCTTTCTACCTTTTTCTAATAGAAACCTACTTACTAAGTTGCAGATGGTATTCAGATTCAAAACAAATTAGTAAGGCACCTTATATAATTTTCCAAATAGTATACAGCAAAGCTAACCCTAAAAATAAACTGTTGTCAGAGAGCATGGTAATACTGCCTCACTCGATGCTAAAACTCAGCACATAAAATGTACACTAGCATCATTTATTCCGCGAACCAATTCAGATTTATTGTGTTTTTTCTTTATCTTCAAGTACAGAATAGCACATGTTGGATTGATATGCTTTTTGTATTTTATAGGCTCACTTGGTACATCAGTATTCGACACGGACGTCTATTTGGTTGGAGCTTCGGGTGGAGTGTATGCTCTACTGGCAGCACATCTTGCCAATGTTCTTTTGGTGAGTTATATGTTCAACCAGACATTGAAAACATGTCTTTACCGGAGATATGACTCTACCTTTTTATTTTATCGTCTAGAACAATGTTACAAGTAAATTTATAAACCTATTATAATGAAGTTCGATGGATACAGAAAGTTAGTATTTGTAAACATTGTTAAGTAATACACAGTTATATATTTTAAATTCTCTGTAGTTACTTGGTAGAAACATTGTTTATTCTTATAGGTAAACTTTTTGTTCCAGACACGTAATGTATGCTTTAAATTTATATTGATGGTTACGATTTGACTTTCATGCCCTTACGAAATTGCTAATTTTGTTGTTTTTTTTGTTTTCGATACGTTACTTTGTACCTAAATATTTGTTATAATATTAGAAGTTGATGAAGTTATGTTTCATTTTTATTTCAGAATTACAACCAAATGGAGTTTGGTCTTGTAAGATTGTTTGGCATATTTGTCATTGGTAAGTAACCGAATGTGTTCAAGAATTTCACGTTTAAGCTTAAATTTCGGAACAAATAAAAACATCTTTGAATCAATGTTACTACATCTGTTTCGGTTTTCAGTGGAGAAGTGATTTTATCCAAATTTAGTTCTAACTGGTTCATATTAATAGAGAAACAATAATGTAGTTCTGGTTATTGATTGTTTAATGAATATAGTTTTCTTTATTCTTAATAAATTAAAAACACATTACTCTGGTTAATATAAATTATTTAAACCTAATTTAAAGGGTTTATTTAGGAATAAAATATATTTAACTATTTAAATAGGTTTAATTTAATAGATTTAACGAGTTATTATTCTGATTTCTTGTTTGTCTCCACAGCCAGTGCGGACGTTGGGTTCGCCATCTATGATCGCTATGCTGCAGAACAGCAAGGTCCTCCAGTGTCCTACGTGGCTCACCTAACGGGTGCTCTAGCAGGACTTACGATAGGGCTGCTTGTTTTAAAGAACTTCGAGCAGAAACTGCACGAACAATTGCTCTGGTGGATTGCTCTAGGAGTGTACGCCGCCTGCACGTTATTTGCTGTACTTTTTAACGTGTTTAACTACTGACACCAGAAAATCTAGTGCTTACCTGGTAATAAAATACAGTCCCAAACTTTCACTCAGGGAGTCTAAGATCTATAGCGCCATCTTTAGTGTTAGAAAACGAAATATACAGGATTGCCTTGAACAAGAAACTGTACACATTTAGCAGAGCTGGGTGTCGGTCTAGTTAAGGTATCAACTAGGCAAGTGTTACAAGGAAGGAAAGATTGACGTCTATCCAATCACTTAATTTCCAGCGTGTACATTGAATTTGTTAAAATAGTTCCTGGTGAAATTAATAGAATGGACTCATTGAAAAGACAGTCAGTGTATGTAGGTAGCATGAGTGAAAAGCTATTACAGACATTCTCCTACTTTTAAAAAGTATTTAGGACCTGTCAGTTAATACTTTTTTTGTACATAACACCATTCTTAAAAATATTGGTTTCTAGCTTTCAAATATGCACCCATCAAAACTGATTGTTCGAAGCTATGTTTATTCCTCGTATTTATCGTTTTACATAATCTTTTCATATTCAAGTTGAAAATTTTACAAAAATCTTCAGCTTTATCTGAATAACTTTTGTATCTTGACCAATCTATTGATAAGATATGGTACTTGTGAAGTACCATTTGGCTTGGTTTTTATCACTCTGTGGCGCCACAAGTGGCTTAACCTTACTTTAGGTCCTTATTTTGTACAGATTAATGACTGTAGTTTTTTAAATGTTTCAAAAGTAATGCCAGGGTGTGTGATGGGTAATGATCTTGAAAATTACTTACTAAAGCCAAAAATTATAACCTAAGGGATGAAAAATCTTGATACTTGTAACTTTTGGATAGATGTTAATCACTTAATTTATTTTTAATTTCTTAGATTTTAAGACTTAATGACAGTTCTTTTCTGGTAAATACTTAATCATTTAAATATATTTACCAAAAACTTGTTGTAATTTTTTACAACCTGTTACTGCAGAGTTAAACATGTCAATGCATTTTCAAGTTTATATAACTAACTGAAGTGTGAAATTTTCAGTGTTATATATTTCAGTGAACTGAATGTTATCGTATTTGTAAGGTATTGTGTCTTTAGACATGTTGAGACTGTAATACTCTAGAGAACAGTCTTGTAGGTGATTTATTAATATTTATTTGTACACAACATTCTTATGTTAATTTAATTTTAGTATTTAAATTTTATTAAATTATGTGCAAAGAGTATATATATTAAGAACCAAATGTAGCTCACTTTAACTGATTTAATATTCAAGAAGGGTTTTCGTCATATATGTGTGTGACCCTTTTGATAAAATCAAAACTTACAAATAGCCTTCATCAAACCATTCCAGGCAGCCACAGGGCTAAACACAAAGTTTCTTTATAATAATTAAAGAACCTATAACTTGGTAACTGGCAAACAGAAGATGAAAGAGAAGCATGTTTTTTTAAATATTTATATCCAGTGTAATAATTGTTGTTGAGAGTCAAAGGAATTGGTGTGTTTATTAGCCATTACTATTCATTTTGTAATTAAAATTTTCTCTGTGAAAAGCAGCATAATATTTAAAGTGTAACATAGATTGTGTTGTATTTTTATCATTCACATCAATTTTGATGGAAGTTGAGTGTTAACATTTACCTATGATTTGTTTTTTTTGTGGGCTAAATTTTGCAACAAGATTAACAACAAAATATTGTGACTAAAAATAACTTATTCCTACATATTACATGAAATTTCAAGAATTTTTGTAACTGTAGTCAAGGGTAGATTTAAAGAGAGTGACCATGTAGACTATCAGATTGTTTCTTCCCTGTTCACTATTAACATAACGTTTTGCAACAACATGGGACCTATTAGTCCATCTTGGCTGTTCCCTCCTTTAAACTAAACTAAAACTATTAATAAGTAAAAATAAAAAATCTTAAAGCCAGCCCTTATCATTCATATACTTATCAAGCATTCTCTTAAACTTACTTAAATTTACTGCCTCCACAACATCCAAAGGCAGCCCATTCCAAAGGCCAACCATCCTGTTAGAAAAAATAAAACTTTCGTAGCTGAAGATGACTCCTTCCCTGACAAAATGTATATTTGTGTGCCCTAGTCCTACTGTTCTCACTGTTAAGTATGAAAAACGATGATACATCAACACTATCAATTCCCTTTACAATCTTAAACACCTCAATCAGATCCCACCTAACTCTTCTTTTTTCAAGAGAAAACAATTTAAGATATTTTAACTGCTTCATCCCAGGCACCATTCTAATTTCCAACAATTCAATGTCTTTCTTTAGAGACTGATCGACTATTGCACCAAGATCCCTTTCCTTCATAACACTATTAAGGTTATTCCCATCCAAATTATACTTGTAATTCAAATTATGATAACCCACATGCATTATCTTGCATTTATTATAATTAAAACATATTAGCCATTTATTTGCCCAATCACTAAAGGATGTCTTTTGTAAATCAGCAGCATTCTCTTCACAGCTAGCAACACCCAAGACCTTAATATCATCGGCAAATTTAAGTAATTTATTGACCATTCCTTCATCTATGTCATTGATGTAAATCAAAAAGAGCAAATGTTCTAAGACTAAGCCCTAATCCATTTTGACTGAACTCCATTTGTAACAACCCTCTGCTTTCTACCATCCAGTCATTCTTCTATCCAATTTGCTAACTTATCCCCCACACCTATAGAGATAACTTTTTTTTACAAACCTTTTATGTGGCACTTTGTCAAATGCTTTCTGAAAATCCAGATACACCAAAACTACATTCTTACCCTCATCTACATAAGCAGAAGCCTTATCAAAGAGTGTCAAAAGATCTGTAAGGCAATATTTTCCCTTAGTGAAACCATGTTGATTATCCAATAAAATTCTAAACTTTGTTAAATGACTTTGTAAAACATCTTTTTTCAGATTTTACAAAACTTCTCCCACAAGTGATGAAAGATTAATGGGTCTACAATTACTGGGACAATTTTTATCACCCTCCTTGAAAAGAGGAGTTACATTAGCTAACTTCCAATCCTTTGGAATCCGCTCTGTTCAAGGACTAACACAAAATAGTAGCAAGTGGCTCACATATCCAATCTTTAACCTCCTTCAAAACCCTTGGGAAAATATTATCTGGCCCTTATCATTCTTTAAACTTCCAATTTTTTTCAATTTGTTGACATTATTTATTATATTCTCAAGTTTAGCCTGATTTATAAAATTTACTGTTAAAATGTTCTGTAATAACCTACAGAAAATATTGCTAACTTGTATTATTTCACAGCTTTTAAGAATAAAATCTGGACATTCTTTTAAGATTTAATAAAATAAAATGTGTTTTTCTTGAGCAGTTAAAGATATCTAATTTTGTCAATCAGAAAATAAGAGTAAGACTGTGAAAGATGTGTATTTTTGAAAATAATATTTCATGAGAACTTGTACAATGTAATTTTATTGTTTTTCAATACTTGTGTTTTGTATGTAAAGCTAGTCATAGAAAGTTTAAGGAAGAAACTTTACTTGTAAAACATGAAACTATCTTTTTCAGGATAATTTATGTAATATTCAAGTTACAGATATAATTATCTATAACATCAATTGAAGAAAAACCTTTCAATTACCTTGTGAGTTTCAAGAGACTTAATGAAGCCAATTACCAAGACTTGTTCTAGCCCAAGCCTTTAAATCTCTTAACTCAGGTCATATCATTCCTTCACAACAGACATGCATTTGGAGGAACCCCAGTAACAGACTACCATTATCTTTGCACAGTTGTCTAAATATTCCTGCCAAAACAATTTGTGACCTACAAGATGTAAAATTTTTTGTCAATACAAAATCTAAGTAATTTAACTACAAATTATGGAAGATGGCAAATATTCATAGAAATGAATAACTGATTTGGACAGAGTCAACATGTAGGATGTGGGAAGTTTCTTCTTCTGAGAGTTACTTTATGAAAAAATTAAATCTAAATATTGAAAACATTTAGCATTCTCAATCACAAAATGCATTTTTTAAACATAAGGGATCATGTGTGATGCATTGCTTAGTCTGTGCCTGTGGTCTGATATTGTGGGAGCCACTCAATTAATCCTCATCATTCCAATAAAAACTCATCCTCTTTATTGTTATTATTGCTCTAGTGTATATGTAAAGAAGTTTTGTTTGTTTTGCTGTGAAGAGTGTATAACATCTTGATTATTTATTGCTCTGTATATCTTCTCTGTACAGATATTGAAAGATTGAATGAAATGTAAGCATAATGTGGTTTCAACCAATGACATTAAAACATAAATTATATAAATTTTAAATCTTGACTGTTTATATTTCATTTACTATAAGTAGTTACTTCAAAATAGAATGAATACATTGTTAACCAAGAATAAATGAAATGCAATCTCTTAGGTCAACTAGTGATTAATTACACAGGCCTGCGAATTTAAACCTCATAAAAGTTGTTTTGGTTTTGTTAACGGATTTTCCATAATTCA